CCCCCCATATCATGAAGTGACACCCAAATTTTCGTCCAGCTCCTGACAAGAGGACATCTCCTCGAGGGCCCTGCCTCATGTCCTGAGCTTACATGGACATTGGCATTTTGGCCGATTGGCCCCTGCTACCCCTCACTTTCTATAACCTTGGTGTCACTGATCACTAGGCTCCTGGTTTAATTGGGTCTCCTTCACCTCTCCTCCCAATGCCCACCTACTGTCTGCCCATAGCTTAGTGCACGTGGACCCTGCCTCAGGATAGCCTCTGCCAGGCTGGTGTCCTGTTTGCCAGGCCTGCCTGCAGGGAGCTCCCCCTCCTCCCCCAGGTGTCCTGGGGCTCGATCTGGTCACTTTGCTGGCCACGAGTCAGATCCTCAGCCTGAGCAGGACAGTTCTCTGGGCTCCTGTGTGCCCTCCACTGCCCCCAGCATGCCCTGTGCTTTCTCCTCCCTGGTCTCCTTCCACCTGAGTGGTCTCCTCTTTGCCGAGTTCCCACCCATCTCTTCCACAAAGCCCCCTCCCCCAATTAAGACAGTAATTAATGACATCCCGGCCCCCAAAGCTGGCTGTCCTCCTAAATGTTCTTGGCCCATGTGTTTCTCTGTTTTGGTCGCCCATGTATGTATTATATGACCTTGTGAGGTAAATCAGAAGCCCCATGGGGTCAGGGGCAGTGTCCAGTCTTTGCCCTCCATCCCCGAGGCTGGCACAGTCATGGGCACCTGACTGGCAACTGACGTTCCCCCACATGTTCTTTGCCTCCCTGAGGAGCCGTTAGAAACCCAGCCTCCAGGAATTGTTCTGGGACATTGGGTAGCTCTCAGCCATGTAGTGTGGACCCCTCTGCCTTGCTCTGGGCCCCTCAAATGGGTGTGGGCATCTGACCTCTGCTCTCCCTGTCCCCAGGTCAAGGGGAAGTGCACCACTGACCACATCTCTGCCGCCGGCCCCTGGCTCAAGTTCCGGGGCCACTTGGACAACATTTCCAACAACCTGCTGATTGGCGCCATCAATATAGAAAATGGGAAAGCCAATTCAGTGAGAAACATTGTGACCCAGGAGTTTGGGCCAGTCCCAGACACAGCCCGCTATTACAAGGTAGGCCGGGGGACAACATGCAGGGTGGGGCTGAGGATCAGCTGTGGGGGTGGGGAGAGGGAAGTCCAGGGAATTCACAAGGAAAGGGGGGGTATCCACGAAGGTTGACAAGGACACATTTCAGGAGAGATTTAGAAAAGGAAGGTTTGGGCCTATGGAATGAGAAGCCAGAGTGAGGGCGCTGGAAGATTGGCAGAGGCCTCTGCATGCCTCCAGCCTGCCCCTCAGAGGACAGTCAGACCCCTGGGCTCAGCTCCCCTTGCCTGTCCTCAGCAGCCAGGTTTGACCTTGGTCATCTGGGCCCCCGGGGTATGGGGGCAGAGTGGGCCAGGTGGGGGGGCTGGAAGCTAGGCCCTGGGGTGGGTGCTTTGAGAGGTAGCATCCTGGAGAGCACTGGGGCCTAGAGTGTCTGGGCCCTGGCAGGTGGAAGGCAGGAGCCTGAGGAGGAGGAGGAGCACTGGATTGGAATTCTGTCCCTGCCTGTGTGACTGTGGACAAGTCACGTCCCCTTAGTTTCCTCCTCTGTCAGTTGAGGGCTGGACTAGATGGAAATCTCAAGGACGCAGAACCTAGAAGCCCCACTCATCCATCTGGAGGCTCGTGAAGGCCCTGGGGGGATGCCGGGGAGTGAAGGGAAGCTTTTCTGTCCCTCCAGGGAGGAACAGCAAGGTCCTCTGGGTAACTGAGGCAGAGGAAGGGAAAGGACTTTTAGTCATGAAGGTTACCAGTAAGTGGCAGAGCCAGGGCATAAGCCCAGGAACCATCACCCAGCAGCTCTCAGTCCAGCACAAAAGCCAGTGGGCTCCTCTGCTGGGCCCCAGTGCCCCGCCCCCCTTACACCAAGAGACCAGGCCGCCAGGGCCCCTTGGGCAGAATCGGGCCTCTGGTTTGGAGCCTTGAGACCCGGGGTCCCTTGGGATCTCTCAGGTTCTCGACCCGTACGGCCGAAGCCCCCGGCCTTCTCTGGAAGCCCAAGGTCAGGGCTCCCGGCCCCTCACAACCCACACCCACTCCCCTTAAACAGAAGAATGGCATCAAGTGTGGGTGGTGATCGGAGATGAAAACTATGGGGAAGGGTCCAGCCGGGAGCATGCAGCCCTGGAACCCCGGCATCTGGGGTGCCGAGCCATCATCACCAAGAGCTTCGCCAGGATCCACGGTAGGCTGGGAGGCCTGGTGGGAGGCGCTCCTTCCCCCACCATATAGCCAGAGTCAGCACCTGGGGCCCCAGGCAGTCAGTGGGGGCCACATTCACCATCCCTCCTGCTCTGGGTCCCAGTGCCTGGACCAGGGTCAACTTCAGGTGAGAGAAACCTCAGCAGACATGGCTTGCCCTCTTTTGGGGGCAGTGAAAGTCACCCCTGGTCTTCTCTTCCCTCTGAGCCAAGCTAGGATCGCCCCCCCCCACCTCCAGCCTCAGTGTCCCCGTTGGCCCGTGGATGTCTCTGACTGCTCTAGCTCCTTGCTCCCTCCTCAGGCAGGGGCCAGGGGCAGCAGCCAGAAGCCCCAGGGCCCTTTGGGGCCGCAGCACTGAGTGGTCCCTCATCCTCTGACCTCTAGAAACCAACTTGAAGAAACAAGGCCTGCTGCCTCTGATGTTCGCTGACCCCGATGACTACAACAAGATCCACCCTGTGGACAAACTGACCATCCAGGGACTGAAAGACTTTGCTCCTGGCAAGGTAACTGGCTTATGGGGCCGAGGGCTGCAAGTCCCCTGTCCCGAACGGTCCCCAGAAACCATCCGGCCCGTTTTTCAGGGGAGGAGACTGAGGCCCAGAGAAGGCTTAGAAGCAAGCTGGGATGAGAACCCAGATGTCCAGCAGTCAGGGCCATTTCCTCTCACGTGGGCCTGGGCAGCCCCTGGGCAGTGGAGGCTCAGGAGGCCTTGGGGGTAGGGAGAGGGGGGGCTGTCAGAGCTGGGGCCCAGCCAGCCTGAGGCCTAGAGGTAGGAGCCAGGAGCAGGGAGGCGAGGCCTTCTGTCACATGCTGTGCTCCCTGCAGCCGCTGACATGCATCATCAAACACCCCAACGGCAACCAGGAAAGGATCCTCCTGAACCACACCTTCAATGAGACGCAGATAGAGTGGTTCCAGGCGGGCAGCGCCCTGAACCGGATGAAGGAGCTGCAACACTGAGGCCCTGCCCCCGCCTGCCCCTGGACTTGGCTCTGGCATCATTTACAGAGGAGGGCTTCCATCTCTCATGTGTGTCGTCAGAAACGCGGTCATCCGAGCCCGCCCCCCCGCCCCCCGCGAGCCTCGCAGTCCCCACACTCCTGGCTGCAGCCTGAAGCGGCCCCTCCGGCCCCTGGCCGCTGATGCTGACTGTTCTTACTTTGGGCCATCAGATGCCATCTGAAGAAGTCTTCTTCCCTGATCATTTCACTGGTGGCTGGAGGTTTTCAAAGAAAGAAAATCTGTTTTTGTTCCTCCAGTCCAGTGACCGCTTCCTTGTCCAGGGTGTGTCTGTGTCCCTTTAGGGACTGTGGGCTGGAGCAGGGCCAGCCCGAGCCAGGGACCTGCCCCTGCCCCCGCCCCCCCCCCCACACACAGAGTTTCTCATCAGAAGCCTTCAGGGGATGATGGTAGAGCTAGAAGGGGCATCACACATTATTGGGTCCAGCAAGCAAACTTGGGTCTGCAGACAGACAGGAAGTACCCTCAGCCCAGCTCCACTGAGCCTCTTGCCCTACCTGGCATCCACTACTCCCTGGGGTCTCCTATGTGTTTGTTTCCCACCCAGCCCTCAAAGTAGCCTGGCCACGCCAGCACCCTGGGCACCCATGTTCATCCTTCCCATTGGGCCCAGGTCGGGCTCCTCTCCCAAAGTCATCCCAGGCTCCCCCCTCCTTAGGAAGCTTGAGGGGCTCCTGTTCTGCTGGCCCTGAGGCCAGGCCCCAGCCCTCAGAGCCACCCACCAACCCCTGGGCACTGGTGGGTAGATGCTGAGCTTACCACAGTGGGGTCGGAGAATTTAGGAAGCACCTACCATGTACCAGGCACATAGGATACAGAGACAGGTGACCCATGGGGGAAGCAGGGCTTTCTGGGTAGCCTTGGGGAGGGGCAGCAGAATACTAAGAGTGAGGCAGGCCTGGAGATGCAGCAGGCTAGACTGGGAAGTGAACTCGGGGAATGATGCCAGGGGCTAGAAAGCTGGTAGGGACCAGGTTGGGAAGGCCTTTTAAAGCTGCCTAGCTTTGAAAGTCTGTTACCTGGAGGTAATAGGGAGCCACGCTCCAACCTGAGCCTGGCAGCTCTAGAGGATGAACATTCAGTGTGAAGGTCATTGGCTGAGTGAGTAGAGTAGGGCTGGATGCTGGAAATGGGGAGACCGAAGTGGCGAGATTTGTAAACTCACAGGCTATGGAGAGTGAGAGAATGAGCTGCTGAGGCCTCTGGCAGAAAGGGGAGCTTGGAACAGGCTTGGGTGGGCCAACTTTGTCACGGCTCCAGCCTAGCCATTTTGAAATGGCCACTAGGAAGTTAGGACTGGAGTTCAGAGGAGGCCATGCAGGCCTTCTCCCCATTTTATTGCTGACTCACTGAGGACACCCAGCCAGGCCGTCCCCAGGCCGGTCAGCGAGCGTCCTTCATGGGGGAAGATTCGAAAGCTAGGCCTGGCCCAGTAGCCAAGCCTGAGGGCTCTCTGGCCCCTGGACAGGCCATGTAGCTTTACTCTGTCCCACTGTGAGTAGGTGAGGCCCAGCCCAAAGTCCAAGCAGGTTGGATAGGGAGCATGTTCATTCGCGTTCAGGGTGAGCGGGGATGGAGGCCGGGCAAGCCCACCAACAAAGGCCCTCTGCCCAACCTTTAACTTGGCGACGCTAGCTGTCCCAAAACATCCTGAGACAGGGCCTCAGCAGCCTCCGCTGCCAAGGAAGACGCAAAGCTGCTTCTTACCAGTAATGGTCTTTTTATTTTGGGGGAGTCTCCCCAGCTGCCCACCCATTAAGTGTGGCCCAGCTCCCGGAGCTCAGGAAGCCACGTGATGCCCTTGCTTGGCTCTTGGCCAGCAGGCTCCAAGGGTGCCCCTGGGGATGGACATAGCTGCCTCCATGCATTTGTAAACAGAGCCCAGAGGAAGGCAGCAGCTGCTAGGACAGGGCACTCGGCTTCACTGCTGGCGACTGGATGGGGGCAGGACCAGGTGATCCCAAGCTGGGAGGGAGGGGCAGGCGGCTCATGAGACTCGAACGATGTTCCCAAGGTCACAGAGTCAACAAGTAAGAACCCAGTCAGACCCTGGCCACCATTCTTTCCTGCAGACGGAAGTGAGTCCACACAGGGGCAAAGAGGACACTGTGAAGCCACCGGCAGTGGCTCTCCTCTGCTCTTGGACCCTTGGGCACGTGGTTCGGGGCGGAAGCCGCCCCGCACTGGCACAGGGCTGGGAGTAGAGGATCGAGGGAGGGGTCTCCTCATCCCCCACTTGTTATACCTTGGCTCTGACAGAGGAGGCTCGAGGGCCCCCGGGGAAGCTGAGGCCACCAGCCCAGCCCCGCTAGCACTCCCAGACTCGTGCTTCAGCCTCTTGGGCCTAGGCTGCTGGCACAGGGAACGTCCTCTGACCATCTCTAACTGCTAGTCCACCAAGAGAGAAGCCCCAAGCCTGGTTCACTGATGGATCCCTGCCAGGGGGAGAAAACAGGCACATTCAGCCTAGACTGAAGGAGTCCTCAAAGCCCCAACTGGCAAACCAGCCCTCCTGCCAGTGGGCACTGGGGGGGCCTGACTGTGCTGTCCTTGGTCAGAAGGGGCCAGTTTCACACCAGTGAAAGTGACACAGGATAGAGATGAGTCCTCATCGAACCTACGAGACGGGTGGTGTGCATGGTGGACCCTGGACAGTCTGCGGGCCTCAGTGGGTACGCAGTAAGGCAGTCACAAAACACCAGGGCTCGGGAGCTTCTAATCAGCTCCCAATCCATGGCCTTCCTCCTAATGTGTGCTCTGCTCCTCCTTCCTCCCAAGCCACATATCCAGGGGATGCCAGCTTCCTCTGCCGCCTTGTGCTTGTCCCCCTCTGGCTGTTCCCATCGCCCTTCCCTCACACCCCCACATTAAGCCTGGGACCATTGAGGGACAAAGATGCCCATAATTCCCTGGGATATCCAGGCCCCCAGGTATACATGACTGGAATCTCATTCTAGGGCCCTTTCAGAGCGGCCACTTTTCTCACATGTGAATGAGCTTGGCCCCACCACGTTGGGGAAGACAAGAGCCAACATCATTCTCTCCAGGACCTAATCACTCAGCCTTCCTGTTAGCATGCAGTGAATGACAACTGGCCCCTCCCTTGGGGAAGGAGGGGTCTCCTGGCCTTTGTGCTGGCACGTGGCCAGTCACTCTCCACCCCTGGCCCCCTTGGCATTTCCAGAGGGCTACCTCTCCCCAATCCACAGCACATGAGCTGCTCCTGGGGCCTGGCAGCCTCTTACCACAAGGGTGTAAGGGGCCTCCTTTTTGGGAGCCTCTTCACTGGATGTCGAAGCCTCCGCAGAACTGGGTCCTGTCGGGGACGTGTCAACAAAGCTCTCATCCACCACTCGGAAGCGGACCTCCTCCCCGGTGTCCATGTATAGGTCGTGGGCTCCTTCTTCTGTCTCATATTCCCAAACCCACACCTGCTCGGCCTCATCACTGATCAGGTTCAAAGGTTAAGGTACTCAACCAGCAGGAAGCGGGTCTACAGATTTTGTGGGAGCCACCTTTAGCTGGTGTGGGTTCTAGCCGTGACCTCTTGGACCACGCTGAGAACAGGGCCCCCCATTAGAAAGTCTGTCCCGCCACACCAGAGCCCCTTCTCATGTGGCCCCCAAGCCAACACCTGCCCAGAAAAGGTGAACAGGTGGGAATGAGCTCCCGGCCCCCTGCCAGCCCTGGGGGCCCCAGAATCCCCGTGGCCGTGCTGCCCCCTGGTGGCAGCCCCGGCTCCCTCCAACAGCAGGAAGGATACAACTTGGCCGGCTGCTGCAAGGATTCCGGGGGAATGAGGATGTCATCAAAGAACCCTAGAGAGACTGAAAGGAATTTATCTTGTATGACTGATAAGGAAAGGCCTCCAAGTGCCCAGCAGACACCCCAGACCCTCACGAGAAAAGTCTCCCTGGGCCTGCAGAAAGCGGTCCCATTAGCCTGGACAGCCTGGGCCACCCCCTCTGCTTCCACTGAACTGGGAACACAGACCTGGGCTGCCCCTGTACTAAGAAGCAGGCCCTCTCCCCGCGGGGTAGGAACCTTGCCCTGCAGCTCTCACCTGCCCCCAGCCCAGGCACAAACCTCACCAGTCTACCTCAAGTCTGTCTCAAGGTCGCTGCTTTATGGAAGGCCTTCCCTAGGGCCTCTGGCTGGTACCCTGGCACAGACAAGACTCACCTCATACATCCGATTCACAGCCAGCTTTTCAGGATCAGTCCGTGGCAAGTGCCAGCCATAATCACTGGTCTGGCCCACCCATGACCTCCCAGCCTGAGTTCTTCCCACAGGACAACTCTCCTAGGTGGCTCAAGGAGCCACTTACCATGAACCCCGTCTGGGCTGCAGCCTTTAATCACACCAATCAGGATCTCGTCCAAGAAGGGGTGGAAGACCACGTAGCGGAAATGGACTGAAAAGAAACAAAGTCAGCTTTGCCCCAGGCTCCAAAGCATTCTGGACATCCCTCCTTCCATCTGTCCACCCATCTGTCAATACATCCTTCCCTCTGTGTGTCTGTCCATCTCGATCCACCCGTTCCTCCCGTCCATCCGTCTGCATCTCCATCTGTCCCTCCCTCCTCCTGTCTGTCCATCTGTCCATCCCTAGCTGACATAACAAAGGACAAGCCGCTGCCCCGCAGCTAAGGGTTTTCCACAGCAGGGCCCTGGTGGAGGCTTCCAGCCCCTGGCCCAACTCCTGCAAGAAGAGAATCCCTGACCACATCAGACGCAGACTCCAGCCTGACCAAGAGTCATGTCGTCTCACAATGTCGGGGCCAGAAGACACCTCCGAGAGCATCAGCTGACAGGGACACAAGATCCCCTCTAGAAGAGCCCTGGCCCCTGGAGGCCTCTGGGACGGGCTGCCAGGCTGTATGACTTCTGGACAACTCTGATTTCCAGCCTAGTCCAGTCTCCATAATCCACTGAAGGGAGGCAGCCACGAGCCACGGGCCTCTGCTTTCCCTGCTCAGGGTGTCTGGGGCACAAGGGCCACAGCCCATGGAACCTGGATGCTTGGAGAAGCTGTGAGAGTCCTCACAGGGAAGGAACAGATTTATTGTCCTCGGTGCCAACCTAGGAGGCAGATTCAGCTCAAACAAAGAAGTCCCACTCAACAAAGATGGTTCCAAGTGGGATGGGTTATTTTCAGTAGATAGTGAGCTCCCCGTCATTCAAGGTGCCCAACCAAGTCAGGGCAAGAGGCCACGTGAGAGGCAAAGAGCCAAGGAGGCCCCTCGAATCTTAGAGGAGAGCCACCATGACCCTCTTGGGTCTTGGCCTTGCCAGGCCAGGCTGGGGAGGCTGTGACACCTTCCCAGAATAATGTTTAAATGCACAAGCTAAGAGAGGAAGGAGGACAAAGGAGACCAATTATATAGAAATACAGCTACTGATACTGGAGAAGCCAGTTCATGGGCCCCAGATCAAGAACCCCTGATCTTGACCCATCTCTTCCAGCAACCCAAGGCCCGTCACCAATATGCCCAACTAATGATCGTGCAGTCTTTCAGTCCCTGACGAGGCAGTCGAGTTCATTTTCAGACCATTCTGAACGCAAGTGAGTTCTTCCTTTTACTGAATCAGAAGCCATTTTGCTTGGAAATGGAGTTCCCCTCTCCCAGCCAATCACTCTGGAACCCTCCTCACAGCCTGTCAGGTGCCGGGCGACCTCGAAAGTCCCCTCCCAAGCTGCCTACAGCTCTGGCACGAAGGTCACTCAGGAGGCCACGGTCCCCACTGGGATCCTCTGCACCAGTCAAGTTTGACCTTCCTCAAAGGCCCATCTCCTTTAGAATCTGGAAAGGGCAGAATCAGCAATTCCCTCCTTTAGACTGACTGGCCAGTGTGCCTAGGCACAGCTCTGGCCTGGAAAGGGAGGCCTGAGAAGGCCTGCCTTTGGCATGGGGGGCAGGGTGGAGGAAAGGACCCCCTTGGTCTGTGTCCTGCGGAACCAGTGCCCCTCACGCTTCCCTCAGTGCTCCCGGAACCTGAGACCCAGGGCGGTGGGATGTTCAGTCTGCACAGGCTAGACTGACGTGACAGAAGAGAGTGGGGAGCAGGAGCAGAAGACGGTGGGCCCAGAGACTCCAGCCACGTGAAGGAAAAAGCTGCAACCAAACAGAACTGAGCGTAGCCCAAAGAGGAAAGGAGAAAGTGAGACTCTCTCCCTTCTGGCAGAGGCAGGAGGCTGTGGGTGAGGAACCCTGCATACGCTGTCAGACAAAGTTCATGTCAGTGTTGCTGAACTGCCTTTGTTCTCTCTTCTTAATTCTTTGTTATAAGCAATGGCTCTTTAGACAGGGAAGGGAGAAAGTATATTCAGAAATGGAGGTTTGTTTTTAAAAAGATGCACTCAACACCCTCACTTAAGCGGCTGGGCAGGGCAGCTCAGGAGGCCGGGGTGGGGGGGGCAGGCCACCACAGCCACTGAGCTGAAGGAGGGGGTGTGGGGGAAGACCCTCATCATTAAGCAGGAAGCGCTTTCCGCTACCACAATGGTAAGGCCTATGTCGCTGGAGAGAGGGCAGCCACCTCCCAGGCAGCTGATGAGATGCAGAGCTTGGGAAGGAGAGTACAGAGAGGCCATTCACTCACAGGATGGAAAAATCTTCCAGCCTCCCAAGCCTGGGAATTTGGAGGGCAGGGAGAACACGAGGCGTCCAACTTCCAGGCCAGCTCCCGCTACTTGGCCTCTAGCAGCAGCAGAGGGGGAGGCAAACCCCAAAGCAGAGGTCCAGGGGGTGGGACTGTCCAGGAATTCTTCAAAAGAGGAGGGCACCATAGAAATAAAAGGACTAGTGATAAGGTTTAATGCTCCCCAAATAAACCAACATGTCGGCTGTCGGATCCCCTCCCTCCGCTGAGGAGCTAGGAGGAAGCATGTGGTCCAAGCCTTTCCCTTCACCAAGGTGACCTTGGTGACCAGCTGCCCAGAGGCAGCCAGCGAGAGTGGAGAGAATCAGCAGCTCCTCGTGCCCAGCTCTGCCCACGACCACACCTCCCTGCCCTTCTCTGGGCCTCAGTTTCTTCAGCTGTAAAATGACGGGGTTGGACTCGTTGGCTTCTGCCACTTTCTTGCTCAGGCTCGAGGCCCATACCAGAGGTGCTGGGGGCCTAATGATGCTGTGTCTGGCATCTGGCCTGCCCTCCCCTAAGGACAACCATGCCTGCTCCCCCCACCCCGCAATCTGTTCCCTAAAAGACCAACGGCCAACGAGCCTCCCACTGCCTGGACCAGGCCAGGCCCATGTGCTGGGGAGCAGGCGGCGTGGCCTCAGCTCCCAGGCTCAGATTCCAGGCTCAGATCCCAGGCTGGCTTTTGCAAAGAGACCTTGAACGCGGGTATTTTGAAAATTCAAACTCTTTTCCCAGCCTGAGTTCCTCCTTCTTCCCTTAGGGAGGTCACCCCGGCCAGTGTAGCTGGGTAATCCAGTGCCCCAGAGCAGGAAGGAGGCCAGAGATCTGTCTGGGGAGAGCGAAGGAGGAAGAGAGTGGCCACCAGCCGAGAAAGAAGCCCTTTCCTTTTGGCTCTGAGAAGTCCTTGCGTTAGTTCTAGCTAGGGCTAAGGCCCAGTAAGGGCTGTCCCTGGGGAAAGGCATGAAACCCTGGAAAAGAGGAGGAAAACTAGCCCTCTTCTTTACTTAGAAATGTGGAGGACGATGGGTATGGAGGCAGGAAGGTGCTGCATCAGAAATTCCCATGCTGTGAAAACCAAAGACAGAAATGCAATGCTAATTTTTAAAAGCAAAGACAAGGAGGCAGCAGGGGAGGGGGCAAGGCAGGGTCCTCTAGTCAGAGCACGCCTGCAGCCTAGGGCCCACTTCTGACCATCACCCTGCCCAGCTGGGGCATGTCCAAAGGAAGGCAAGCAGGAGGAGATGCCAAGGGTCAGCAGAGGGAAACTCGAGCTGAGGCCGAGATGTGGGGGGCCCGTGAGCCTGGACCAGAGCCAGAGAAAAGCTTAGAGATGCCTGAGTCCAAGTCCTCCTTTTACAGAGGAGGAAACTGAGGCCTGGGGGGCAGGGGAGGTGAAAAGGGACCCAGCTCCTAAGTCGCAGAGCCAGGCCTCAGACCCAGGCCTTCCCACGATACTTCCAAGAGCTGCTTCCAACACCCCACAGCCATCCTTCGGACACAACTCCAGAAACAGCACCAAGTGCCCAGGGTGGGGGTCATGGGAGGGCAGCCAGGGGCTTCCCAACAATCAAGGGTGTCCCAGAGGAGAGGGGACTGCTTCAGGTCACGGCCACAGCTCAGTGGGTGGACTGCTTCCCCACGTGGCCCTGGCCAAAGGTCCCTGTCAAGTCTCAGCTCAGTGTAAAGAGGGGAATGGGGATGCCCACCTTTGGTATGGGACGCACCATCCCCTGGGAACACGTAGGCGTCCTCTAATTTGGTGATGTCATACAGGCAGATGCAAAGCCCAACGTTGTACACGACCTGTGGAGACACACTGATTCAGCCACGGGCCTCGTGAGGCCTTGGTCCTTGGGTCGTCAGCCATGCCCATCTGAGACTGTCCCACCCGCCTGTGTGGGCTGGCTTTGCTGGGCCCTCAGCCAGCCACTGACAGGACTGATGAGTCACTTGCCCAAGAGGACCCCAGACAGGAGGGTCAGGCCAGGGTGGGCACCAGGCTGGGCACCAGGAAGGCAAAGTCACACTATGAGGCCTCTCCCTGGTCTGTGCTGGGGCCAAGAGGGCTCCAAGGCCTCCCCTCGAACAGGCCCAAGTGATAAAGGCAACAGTCAGTTCCCCTCTCCCTCTGTGCCTCAGTTTCTTCATCTGGAAAATGAGGGTGATGGTCTCGATGGCCTCTTGGGCGTCATCAAGCGCCCCCGCCTCTATCTTAAGCGGGAGTGATAGCCCCACTTCACGACCAATCCACAAGAATTGATAAGCACCTACTATGTGCCAGGCTTCATGCTCAGCCCAGGACCACCTGCCCGCTGACAGAGCCGCTCTTGTCCAGCCCCCAGGCCTCACCTTGTTGGCCAGTTTCTTGTTGAGCTCCTCAGCGATGGAATCATTGAGCTTCCTCTCAAACTGCCATGGCGGGATCCGCACCGTGTCTACCATCTCCACCAGGACAAACATCCTGGATGCCTGGAGCCAGGCCCTGGAAGAGAGGAGCCCCGCAGGGAGGCAGGCCCGGCTCAGAGGCCACCCCCTGGGCAGCAGAACCTCAGCTCTCCTAACTCTCCCAGGCAGAGCCAGAAGGAACTGGGGATCAGCTAACTGACCCGACTCACAGATGAGGAAACTGAGACCTAGGAGGAGGAAGGAATCTGCCCAAGGCCTCACACAAACCCTGAGGCACGTGCCCACATGCCCTGGGGGTGGGAAAGGCTACGGCAGAGGGGCGCTGGATGGGGGGGGCAGAGTGAGGAACAGGAGGAAACTGGGGTGAGGGGACCCCAAGAGTCTGGAAGCCAGAAAGAGACCTCGGAGGTCATTTAGACCAACCTCCTCCTTTAACAGATGGGGAAACCGAGGCCCAGAGAAGGAAAGTCACCAGGTCAAGGCCACACAGCCATTCAGTAGATCACAGAATCGGGGATGGGGGTGGGGGAAGGGTGGACATCTAGTCCAACCTCCTCCTTTAACAGATGGGGAAACTGAGGCCCCAGGGAGTAAGTGACTTGCCCAAAGCGGCAAATCAGTAACAGAAGATCATAGATGGGGGGAGGTCATCTAGTACAATCTCCTTTAAAGATGGGGAAACTGAGCCCTAGAAGCGGACAAGGGCTGTCCCAAGGTCACGGGACAAGTCTAACGGGCGGCGGGGGGGGTCATAGTGAGGACTCTCGGTCTGGGGCTGGGAAGGGCTCTAGAGGCCGTCGAGCCCGATCCTCCCACGTTACAGAGGGGGAAACAGAGGCACGGGGCAGGTGGGTGTTTCGGGCTTCCGGGGTGCCCCACGCGCGAGAGGGTCTCGGACAGGAGGGTTCCTGGGCCTCGGCCTCCCGTACCCGCAACGCGGGCAGGGGCCCCGCGACCACAGAGGACACGCACCAGCCGCCACGCGCCCCGGCTGATCTCAACTGCAGCCCCCGCCGCCGCCGCTGCCGCCGCCACGCGCCGTCTCCAGGAAACAGGATCACTTCCGTATATTGAACCAATCAGAGCAGGATCAGCCTCTCAATCCCGCCCTTCAACTTCCTCCGCCTACCCGCGGCAGCCGGGAGAGGAAGGGAGCATGTTCAGACTCCTCCCCTTTCCCCAGAAGCCCCGCCCCCTCGCGGGGCCTCCGCTCAGCTAACTCCCCTCCTCGAACCCAGCCCACTGCCCTCAGGCTCCGCCCTCTTTCCTCCCGTCTTCTCTCCGCCACTCCATCCTCCAGAATCTATTAAGCGCCCCCTAGGGGTGCCGGGCCTTGTGCTAAATGCTGGGGGGATGGGCCTTCCAGGCCGAGCCCGAAACTGCCGGGGGCGTCTGAGTGAAGCCGGGACAGCGGCAGACCGATGCCTAAGGAGGCCGAGGTCCAGCTGGAGAGCCCTGGCTAGGCTGGTTCTCTTCAAGCCTCTGCTGTCTCCCTTTCGTTTGCTCTTTAAAAAAGTTAATTGTGTTGATATGTTTTGTTTTACATGGACTTTCCCCCACATCCCTCTCTCCTCTTATTATTATTATTATTAACCATCCCTTATTAAAAAGGTTTTTTTAAAGGTAAAGGTAAAGATATGGGAGGGATACAGATACAAGGGAAAGAGGGGAAAAGAGGGAAGAAAAGAGGGGAAAACCTGCAAAATTCATATATATATGCATATATATGTATATATAAAACACTCTAACAATGTATACAGTCTTCCACAGCTGTGCCCCCTTCCCCACATCTGCAAAAGAAGGTTTCTTCTACTATTTTTTTCTTTTGGAAGGGGGGGAAGAGGGCACAACCACTTATTAAGCACCTACAGTGTGGCAGGCACTGTCCTCTACTGTCTCCTGAAAAAGGCAGGAAATTTTCACACACACACACCAACCTCCCCTCTTGCGGCCTGGCTGCCATTGGCCTACTGATGGGGTGATTCACTGGTTCATAGCCTACCCCCAGCTCAAGCCATGTTCTTGGCCTTGGTCTTTGGAGGAGGTGATCTTTGGGGAAGCCACTCTTAGTGCCTCAGGCAAAATGTAAGACACTCTGCCCTCCTGCATGGTGGACAGTGTTCCTACACTGGTCTGAACTGAAACGAGGAAAAGGTCCCCTCTAGGCTCCAAAGGGGAGAGCCCAGACAGAGTGTGTACAGGCAGAGGCAAGGATTCAGTTTTGTGTGGTAGGAGGTCATGAAGTTCTCCAGGGAACCGCCTGGCCCAGAAGCAGACAGAGGAGTTCCTTGGCCAATCCCACAGCTGAAGGACCATGAGCCAGAGTAAGGGAGCAGAACAATCAGAGCTCCTCAACAAATACTTTTAAGTACTTCCTTGGTGCCAGAAACTGTGTTAAGCACCAGGGGTATAAAAAAAAAAGTGACAAGAGAGTCCTGGACCAAGTCAAAGACCCTATTCAGTCCAAGAGAAGATGCAGGCTAGAACCAAGAAATCATGAAGCACAAGGCCACAAGGAGGGGCAGTAAACCTGGACTGTGCCTTTAACTGTTCTGTGAGTTCTGTGGACTGTGCAGGGTTAGGAGAAGGGGATCAGCTCTCTAACAACTAAAGGTTCTTTCCCCACTTGGGAAGCTTCAGCTCCAGGGTGGTACTATAAGTCCAAGGGATTGTATAGGCCCCTGGGAAAGATGAGAAGCTCCATAAGAGTGGGTTCTTTGACTCTCTCGAACCCTTGAGTGTTAATATTTTATAAAGAGGTTGGGGGACACCTAGGGGAGTACTATAAATCTGGAGGCCCCTGGTAAAGACGCAGCTCACCAGAGCAGAGGGTAGCTTGACTTGGGAGCAAAGCTGTGTTCTTTACCTTCCCTAGGGTAGGGGTGGGGGCTCATTCAATGTAGTCATTTGGGTCTTGTAGACCCGTAGGTCTCTGGGAAAGGTGAAAGGAGGCTCGGTAAAGAGAGAAGGGCGGTTATGTAGATGAATTGTGGACTCAGCCAATCAATGAGAATTGATTATGTGTGCTTACTGTATGCCAAGTGCTGTGCAAAGCTCTAGGGATACAAAGAAAGGCCATAGCCATTCCTGCCTTGGAAGAACTCACATTTGAAGAAGGTGAACAAAGCAGAAAATAATTGATCCTTTGCATTTTTTGGATCAACTTAAATAGAGCGTGTAGAGGGCCAGAAAGGTCCTCTCCAGGCAACATTGTGCTCCCACCCCAACCTACACAGCTGAGGGCTTTGGACACAGGATTTCAGCCGTTGGGAGCTAGGAAAGTTGCTAGGCCACAGAAGCCCATGGTGCATTGAGGGGAATTTAATTTCTTTAGATATCAGTAGAGTTTGGGGCCACCCAGCAACCATAATGGAGTGGGGTTGGGGAGGGAAGGGAGGTCCACACAAACCTGTGCCCACATCTTGCCCGTGAGGGGGCGGGGCTTCTTGGAAAAGGGGAGGAGTCTGAACATGCTCCCTTCCTCTCCACGCGCCTCACTTGGCTGCACCAAGAAACTCTGAATTTGTTGCTCAGGTCTCACCCCTTCCTCCATCCTGCACCTGCCCTGGGCATCCTGATGTAGAGAGGAGCCCTGGATTTGGACTCAAAGAATTCATGGCTCCAAATCCCACCTCTTTAGCTGAGGGATCTTGCCCTGAATCACCCTAGGTCCCAATTTCCCCATGTGTAAGAAGGGCGTTGGGTCAAATGACCTCCAGCTCTGAGCCCCGGGATCCCCTGGCACAGGTTCAAATGTTTGGCGTCTTCCTCCTGTCCTTCCCACCCCCCACTTCCCTCACCACGTACCCATAGCTTGATGAAGGAATCTAGCCCAGCGAGTTTGGCGTGGCCTCAAAGATGACTCGGAGTATTTGAATAAGCAGTGGGGTATTTGTTTAGCATTGTCCTAGAATGACATTTGCGGGGGGGGGGGGGGGGGGGGGGGGACAGGTAGAATAAGGAAGGCAAGACATGGACTCCTTCCTTTCTAGTTGGGGAGCCCAGGGCAGAACATAGAGAAACAATAGGGGCATAAAAGTCAGAGTATCGTGAAATGTTAAACTATTTGGTTCAGAGGGTAAGTGCTATGGACGTCCAGAGGACAGCAGAAAGCTTCCTGAGGACTCGAGACCCATCATGAAGGATGAGGAGGGTTTGGAGAGGGGGAGGACATCCTGTGAGAGCCTCCAACTCAAATCATATTGCCCTTACAGGGGCTTCGCAAGCCTTCACGTGCTGTAGAAGTGCTACTACAATTTAAAAATCATTATTATTAACAGTCAGAGACAACATGAAGTCCGTCCAGAAGAGCAGATGATGTCTGCGCATGCCTGGACCTCCCTGTTGCCCTGAGCTCATGGCAACCGGCCTCTGTTTTAGGGGGGATGTTTCCTTTCCTGCTACTTTGTCACCCTCCTGCTTTTTTTCATTTTGCCTCAGCCCACCGTGTCCCTCCTGCCCTTTGCTTGGATGGATTCCTTCTTCATGAGCTTGAAGGCCACATTCTGGACCAGGCCTGACTCATACCTGGCCAGGGGCTCACATCGAGAACAAAAGGAGATACCACTAGGCCATTTAATAAACAAAGAAGAAGTTTACTTAGTGACAGCCTGGAAAGGATATTCAGCAAGGACACAGTGTGAGGTCAGCTGGACACAGCTCCTCTGCCCCTGAGTCTTCCATGGAGGCGTGACCTGGGGGCCAAGCCTGAGGATCCCCAACTCTGTGTGCTGAGGCCTTCCAGATAGCAAGATCCAAAAGTCAGGACAGTTCACAGCTATGAAAGCTTCCATGAGTAGGAGCTCCATTAGCTATTCAAGCCTGAGCCCCATGGCTAAGTCCATCCTCAGATGCTTTCCTTGTTGTTGGGGGAAAGAGAAGGGAATGAGCATTTATGTAGCACCTACTACATGCCGGGCACTGGCACAATAGTATCTCACTGCATCCTCCCAACAGCCCTGGGGAGTAAGTGCTGTTATCATCCCCATTTTACAGCTGAGGAAACCGAGGCAGACAGGGGTTCTAGCCTAGCCTTTGTGAAGCAGATGGTATTCACACTCCAGGGCATGTAAATTTGTCTGAATGAAAATTAAAAATCAGCCACTTTAAGAGCCTGGGCCTGGGAGAGAGCTGTGGATTTTAGGCTCCGCACCCACTCAGCGTGTGATCTCAGCAAGGCACAGTAGCCTCTCTGGGCCTCAGTTTGTCCATCTGTGAAGCAATAGGGTCGGAGTGTGGCTTGGTGGGGCTGCAGCATACGGAATCCAATCACCAGCTCTGCCCCTTCTGACACACTCCAGTGACCTTGTGGAAGTCACCTCCCTTCACTGGCCTCAGTTTCCCCATCTGTACAATGAGGTGGTTGGCTGCTATGACTTCTAAGGCTCCTTCCAGCTCTCATGCTCTGGAGAATGAGGGCAGATGAACAACATGGCTCTTTCAGCTCTGCTGAATTCCATGAACCTGCAGCCTGGACTTAGTCTAGAGGGTGGCTTTTCAGCTTTTGCTCGTTTCTGTGAGACAGAGCCTTTGCTCAGTGGTTAGTGCCTAGCACAGTGATGGGAAGGCCTGCCCTAGAGACAAGGTCTTCTCTGCTCATTTCTGGGTCTTTAAACTGAAGGGGGAGGGACTTTTCTGCCATCAGCTGCAGCTGCTGAGAACCTGGCAAAGAAGGGAACATGCAGCTATTGACCAGTTCCATTTAGGGGAAGATTTCCCTCTTGGCTTCGAGGGTGGGCTTCAGGACCCCTCTCTCCTACATCCTAAGGAGGGAGAGAAGGGACCCTCGAATCTGGCTACGAGTATATAGATTGTTCAAGGAACTGATCCAGGAGAGGTCAGAGAGGAAGGAAAACTGATGTGAGGGGAAAAACCACAAGGAATGAAGCAGATAAGGGGTGGGAGGCAGATCAGGTTGGAGACACCCGCCCAAGAGGCCAGGGTCAGACATGGAACTTGCCTCCTCCATGGACCCTGGAGGCCAGGCCAGCATCCCTTGGGAAGCAGCCCCATGGCAAGGTCTGAATCTGCTCCCAGAAAACCAGGACCTGGCTGTGCTGGAGGGGAAGGGTCTGGGCTGTGGCCCCAAGCCAACTCCTCCCTCTCTTGGGGACCCTGATGGCTCATCTCTAAACTGAGGGACTTGGCCTTCTCACCCTGGGCCTGTGAACTTGTTTTTTCAGTCATTTTCAGATATCCATGTCTGATGAATATTGGTTTTCTTTGAAATCCTAGTATTTTATTTGATGCATTTCAAACCATGATTCTAATGAGGAGTCCCTAGATCTCACCAGACATTTCCAGGGGGTACCTGATGCAGAAAAGCAAACCCTTACTCGGCCCTGGCTAAGGTCCTTTCCAGCTCTGTGCGCAGCCTACACTGTTTCTGCTAAACAGCACTCCTCATGAGAGACGGAGCCAGACAGACTGGACTAGGCCTTCCTTGCCAGGCTTAGACACAAAAAAATGGCAAACATTGACATTTAACCAGCTAGAAACAAATTGGGACCCTGGTGGGAGGGGCCTGGGCAGTGGCCACCTGGATTCGACAGCTTGGGGACAGGGAGACTGAGCCAGACTTGGGATTTCATTCACATGGTGAACTCCCAAATGGGGAGTTCCCTCTATGGAGGAGGTCAGCACCCACTGTGCGATGTAGGGCCTTAAAAAGCTGCTGCACCTTAGTTAAGCTTCTCCTCTCAAGTGAGATCGTGTGTGCGTGTAAGGCACTTCGCAAACCTTGAGCCACTGCCCAAACATCAGCTCATTATTATCATTAGTATAGCGAAGTGGCATAGAGCCAGGCCAGGCCTCACTGGGTCAGATATACTGCATAAACATTAAAAAGCCAGGCTCACGCACACAGCATTTTGCTGGGCCCCTATTTGGCAGGTGAAGGAAGGAGACAGTGCGGCCTTTGGCCCACGCCAGATGTGAGGGTTCTAAACCGGAAAGGAGTGACACAGGGGTGTGTCTGGGCTCTTCCCAGCCTTCCCAGTTTTCTACAGGACGGGCAACCCCTCGCCCCTGTCACCGAGGCTCTGCTTCACACTGAGATCCCCTCCAGGCAAGCCCCTGGTTTTCAGGCAGAGCGACTTGTTACTCAGACTGCACGATGCGTGGGTGCTGGCCGCGAGCTGATTTCCTGAATGAACAGATGAGCTTCTTTCTTCTGTACTTAGCATCAGAATACTCCGACTCACTCAGACACCTTCATTCATGGCTCCAGGACATGAGAGCTCCAACACCTTTGCCTCTGCCCTCAAAGAAGTCTCTGCATTGAGTAACTGGGGTGTGGACAGAGGCTGGACCCTCTCTATGTGTTAACCAGAGTGGAGCTGAGGGGAGGTCCTGGGGCCCAGGCTTTCTGTAAGTCCTGAGTGAATGAGCCTGCAGGGGTTCAGAACAGGGACAGGGCACAGCCCCCCTGACCTCTGCCCCAGTTGGGCACAGAGAGCACGGCTCTGCCTTCTGGATACCACTTTTGGGGACAAAATGGGGAGCATCCAGAGATGTATGACCAGGGTGGTGAAGAAAGTCAAAACCACAGCCTGTGAGGAGCATTTGGAGGAAGGGAGGGTGCTCAGCCTGGACGACAGAAGACTTAGGGAGGAGCATGTAATTACTGGCTTCAAGTCAGGAAAGGGCTGTCCTATGGAAGAAGGCTTCATCAGTCAATAAGCATTTATTAAGCACTTACTGTGTGCCAGGCGCTGTGCTACACCCTGCCTAGACAAAGAAAGTCAGTGCCTGCCCTCAAGGAGCTCACAGTCGAACAGGGGAGAGAATGTGCAAACAAACTGTATGTAAGACAAATAGGAAATACCAACAGAGGAAAGGCTCTAGAATGAAGAGGCTTGGGGAGGGCTTCCTGCAGAAGGTGGAATTTTAGCAGGGACTTGCAGGAAGCCAGGGGATGCCAGGAAAGGAGGGGAGGGCTAAGAGCGTTTTAGGCCAGGGAACGATCAAGGAAGAGCCCCTGAGCCAAGAGACGGAAGGTCTCAGACCAATTTTTCAAGTAGCGACCAATCAGTGAGCATTTATTAAGCTTGCACTATATACAGACATTGTGCTAAGCAATGGAGATACAGTAAAAATGAGATCATCTCTGCGCTCAAAGAGCTCACATCCTACTGCACAATGCACAAAATCAATTGAAGAGTGATTTCTGGAGGGGGTGTGAACAATTTGGGGGAGGTCAGGAAAGGGGACAGCCCTGGAAGGAGGTTTTGGGGGTTCCAAGAAGTGGAGATGAGGAGGGGGAATGTATCCAGCATGGGGACAGACAGAGAGACTAACGAGGCCGAGAGACAGGGGATGGGATGTTGTGGGGGGCGGGGAAGAAGATAGAGCCCAGTTTGGCCTGAGTGGAGAATATGTGAGGGAGAGAAACTTGGGAGCTGTCCACAAAGTGGGGCTGAGGCCAGCCTGTCAAGGGCATTAGAGACCTAGAGAAGGAATTCATATCTGATCCATATGGGCAACCCAGATGGGCAATAGGGAACCACAGGAGCTTTTAGAGCAGAAGGATGACTTTGTTAGACCTATGCTTCAGGATAGAAATCTGACAGTTCTGTGGAGGATGGACTGGGAAGTTACTGCAAGAGTCCATATGAGGGGTGTTGGGTGCCTTGACTAGGCAGGGAGCCAATGTCAGTGAAGAGAAAGGGAAAGAGAGGAGAGGTGTTGTGGAGGAATGAGGAACAAGCCTTGGCATCGGATTGGATGTGGGGAGTGAGGGAGAATGACCTGTAGAGGATGGCTTTGATTATAAAAATGCCTGGGAGAATGGGGATATCCTGGACAGAAATAAGGAAGTTTGTTACAAAGAGGAGTGGGTGTAAGGTTAAAGGGACAGAAGGACACATTTCAGCTCAATGTCAAGAGAAATTCCCTAAAATGAAGGTTGCCCCCAAATGGCCTGGGCTTCTGTGGGAGCCAGGTAGGTCCTTGTAAGTGGAGGCTGCTTGGTCCCTTATTAGGAATGTCAAAGAAGAGATTCCTATTTGGGGACAGGTTGGCCCGGATGTCCTCAGAGGCCTTTTCCAGTTCAGAGCATCTTTGATTCTCAGATCTGATGCCCCAGATAAGCAAATACAGGGTATCGTACAAAGTAAACACAAGGTAATCTCAGAGTTGAAGCACTAGCTATTAGGAGTTGAAGGAGTTAGTTCTTGAACTGGTCCCTGAGGGAAGTTCTTGGCATCTCCTCAGACCCTCTGGTCCATCCATGTCTCCTCAGACCCTCTGGTCCATCCATGTCTCCTCAGACCCAATGGCCCACCCATGTCTCCTCAGATCCACTGGTCCACCCTCATGTTACTGTTTCAGAGCATATAACAAGCAGGCTCCACCCTGCCACAGCCAGGCCTGATCAGGGTGAGGGTTTCTGGACATTCTGGTACCAGAGCCCCCCAACCCCAGACTTCTCCCTTCCCCACTGCAGCTAATTAGCACTAATTAGGTGGCGAGTGCTTATTAGCGTCTTCCTTCATCTGACTTGCTGGGTGAATTATACACGACTCATGCAATAAAAGCCACTTTCCAAAACAAGACATCTCAGAGTTCAGAAGATGCTCCTCCCATGTGTCACTAGTGGCCCTGTCACCCTGTGACAGGGCCCCAGAGGCTGCTGGGGTGGCTCCTTCCCTGGCTCCATCAGCATCCTGGGCTGGAGAAGGACAAGAAAGGTCCTGATGTCTCTTTAAGCCGGAGTCCAAGTTCCCATCCTAATCCCTCCCACCTGCTCTCTACTCGGCCCCCTGACGTCAGGAGGAAGGAGTGGATGTGTGTGAGTGTGAGTTCAAGCTCTGGGGTGCTGCATGCTCACACACACACACACACACACACACACACACACCCCAAATAGCTTAAGTCCATCTTTGCCTGCTGGCCCTAAGAAACGGGGGGGGGGTACAAAAGAAGAGGAAGGTGAAAGCTTCTGGAGGCAGGCTGACCCCACGGCCCAAGGTAAGCCAGCAGCTGGTGGATGGATGACCATTTGGCACTGATGGGGAGGCTGGGGGGTGGGGACAGGGAGGCTAGGTCCTTGATGGGAACTGGGAAGGCATGTCTGTGGGGCTAGTCTCCAGAGGGCAGGGATCATGCCGGGTTTTGCAGGAGAGGAATGAAAACCCTTCCCCACCCCACCCCCGCCCCCCAGGTTTCATTTAAAAGCATAATTTTGCGTGTGTATCTGAGGTGGATGCTGGGTGGTTGGATGGAGGGCTGGGATGGAAGCTTGACACGGGTCAGGAGGGCCCTTCTCCTTCAGGAAGGTGGAAGCAAATACCCTGGAAAGAAAATGCTAGAGCAAGCATAAGTAGATGCTAAAAATCATGGGGAGCAGGAGGAGGGGGGAGACGGGGGGGGGGATGGAGGAGGGGAAGGGTAGTGATTATTCTTTTCTACTGAGAGCGAATTCAGTGCTCTTGAATTTGGGGCTTGGGGGGAGGGGCAGATGGGGAGGCTGCTCAGGCACAGGACCAAGGACTGTAGCACTTCCATCATTTGGGGGGGGGTGTAATGGGGACAATTGGGGTAATTAGCAGAGAGGAGAGATGACTCCATATTATTCTGTCCTTGTAACCCCCACCCCCAGTCTGGTAGAGGTGGCCTCTTTCCTACATCTAATACAGTGGTCTCCATGGACCTAAGGGGTTCTCTTATCTGGTGCTTTCTACCTAGATAGCCACGGGGGTTCGGTTCTCTCTGGAGACCTGACTGAGCCCCCAGGGGGTCCCAGGAGCATTACCCCAGTGGGATCAGACTCTGAGGCCAAGTCTCTGTTTAGTTCTGAGCTGAGCATCTGACTCTGGGGAGGAAGGACGCTCATGTCTAACCTTCTGATTATGTGAACCCAGTGCAGACAAGGCAGTCAGAGAGAAAGGGGCATTCATTGGCATCCGCTGAGGACAGAGCGTTTCTACAAAGCTTTGAGACTGCAGAGCTCTCTGATCTTCATAGAAGAAAAGGCGGAGGAAAATGCAGAGAGAGGGAGAGCTGGGGGGGGGGCAGACAAGTAAGCAGGCAGAGAGAACAATAATAAGTCTAGTCTGGCTATTGATGTGACAGATTTGTCTAAGAGGGGTGGGAGGAGGAGGAAGTGGGATGTGGGGGGAGGGCAACCTCTTTATTTAATCCTATAAATTTGCAACTCATTGCATCCCACCAGACTGGTTACAATCTATTAGGGAAATCACCCTGGGAAACAGCACGCTCCGACTGATGGGGGATGGAGACAGCTTTTTCTCAGACCACGCTCCCTCCATCTCAGCTGTCTTTCCTTCTCCTAAATTCTGGCCATTTCTACTCCCTTCCTAATACCCCCTTCCTTGCCTCCTCCCATATCAAGAGCATTCAAAAAAACCCCAACAAACCCAAAACTATTTTCAATCCCTTTCTCCCTTCTCCGCCCCTCAGCCTAACAAATTAAACGGCATACATAAAGCAGTGACTGAGACTGGGCTTGGGGGGGGGGGGGAATGATGATGGTGCCTCCCTTTATAACGAATGATAAAGGCCAGGACAGTGTTCTCTAGCCTAAAGTCAGGCTATACCAAGTAGATTTAGGAGGGGGCTCCTAACCAGAAGCGTTTGTTGGGTTCTATGGAATGTTCCACGGATGTTCATTTTGAGGGGAGAAGGAGATCCCTAGGGGTGGTTATGGGGGTGGGGACTTGGAGTGTATCCTTCCCACAGGCTAGCAGAAAGGCTTGGAAATGCCAATCTCCTGAGGAGATCTGAATCAGGGATGGAGGAGGCAAGCAGCCGTAGAAGAAGAAAAACCTTAGATACAGCCAGCTGGGGTAGGGCCACACAGCCTCCTCAAAGATGAGAATTGGGTGGGGGTGAGCGGACCCTTGGAAGGGTGAGGACACACGAGGGCCATGTTTTCCAGGCTCCTGAGAGCACAAAAGTGATCCAGGAGAGCCAGTGGGAGCTCGTTCTCCCTCTCCATCACTCCAGACCAGGAAAATGGGCTCTGCTGGTTGGAGTCTCAGAGATTAGCGCAGCAATGGGATCAGGAAAGCTAAGTTCTAGTTCTGGTTGTGACATTAACTCTCCATCATTTCTCCCCTCCGGGTCTCAGCCTCCTCATCCCTAAAATGTTGGGGTTGGACTAGCTGACCTCTGTGGTTCCTCCCAGCTCGAGGGCCCTGGCAAGGTGAGATCAAAAGGAGAGATGCCCAAGCTCAGCGGCCTCTGCCTCCCGGCTTTCTGGTGCGCCCAAGAGAGCTCCCACCTGTCCCAAAGGAGTGGAATAGCGTCTGTCCCGTGAATAGCAAAGAGCTTGCTTTTCTGTGTTCTCCGTATAACGATCGATACTGCTGCAATAATAGCAATGCTCCCTTCCAGGGTTGTTACGAGCACCAGATGTTTATAAAGTACTTTGTCTACCTTAAATGACTCTAGAAACGGGAGCTATCATTCTAGAATGTTAATATAATATACATATAATAATGTTAATAATGATAATATAATATCATTACTGAGTGTTCCTGATGTTAACATTCTTCGTATTATTATGAATTAATAATAATAGTCCGTGTTTCTATAGACAGCGCAAGGCAGTGCCTTAACGCACAGAGCAGGGGCTGGAAATCAAGATTGGAGCTCAAATCAAGCCTTAGCTACTTCCTAGCTGTGTCATCCTGAGCAAGTCATTTAACCTCATCCATCAGCCTCAGTCTCCTCATCCGTGAAATGGGGATAGAAACAGCACCTCCCTCCCAGGGTTCTTGTGAGGATCAGATAATATAACATTTGTAAATGTTCACTTTGCAAACCTTAAAGGGTTGTATAAATGTTATTAGTGTTTTAATGATGAGGAAACAGAAGCTCAGAAAAGGTCACATAGTCAGTCCGTGCTAGGGCTAGGATTTGAACTCAGGTCTCCTAGTTCAAAAGCCCTCATCATCCTGATATTTCCTTCCCAGCCTTTACTTGCCAGGGCACAGAGGAAGCCAAGGGGTCTTGGGGCAGGAGGACCCCAGATTCCAGCTCCCGTGGCAATGCTCAGTCACATAGCTGCCACCTCCCCCTCGCGAAGGGAACTTGATTGTAACTAGGTCACCTTCAGTGCCAGCAGATGCATCTGCCTCTGATGATGTTCTTAAGATGAAACTGTAGGGCTGGGCCTATCAGGAGGTGGGATCCAAAGGGGGGAAACCAGGACGCCTCCTACTCCTTTGGGCCAGCCCACAGGCAGACCTGGGACTTTTGGAAAGCCCCTTTCCCTGCCCTAGGTCCTTATCTCTTGTGATTCTTACCCAGGAGTGGTAATTACCCTCCAATTATGTCAGCACAAGGCTGGGCCCTTCTTATCATGAAGGGGTGTTTGTTTTCTCATTGTTGTTATTTTTGAGCTGCAGAGATGGCAAATGACTCATTCAAAGTTCCTGCCTGAGTCACCAGAATAGAACCCAGGAGTCCTGACTCTCCAGTCCACCCATCATGGGACTGCAATGCACATGGATGGAAGTCTGGGTCTGAAACGTTGCTCTGTGTGACTTGAGCAGGTCGCTTCCCCTCACTTCTCTGGCCCTCTGTTTCCCCCTCCATGTAATGGGGAAGCTGAATTAGGCTATCTCTAAGACCCCTTTCTGGTCTAAAAAAAATCCATGGTCTCTTCACTAATCCTTCCTATATTGGAGCCAAAGGACTTTTGATACCTGTATCTCCAGCTACAGTCCTCCATCTTCTCTCTATTCCCTGACCTCAATTTATGTGTGTCTATATATGTGTGTCTATATGTGTATATGTGTATCTGTCTCTATCTCTGTCTCGAAATTTCTGTCTATAGTTATTGTTGTTGAGCTGTATCTGACTAGACAGAAGGGCCTGGTAGGCTATGGTCCATGGGGTCACAAATAAATACATACATACACACATATACATACATGTGTGTATATAGAGACACACACAAATAACTATCTATACATATATACACAAATGTGTGTGTCTATATCTATGGAGACACACACATATACATACATGTGTATGTATAGAGAGACATACAAATGAATATATATATATATATAGAAATGTGTGTGTCTATATCTATGGAGACACACATATACATACATGTGTGTGTCTAGAGAGACACACAAATAACTATCTATACATATATACACAAATGTGTGTGTCTATATCTATGGAGATACACACATATACATACATGTGTATATGTAGAGAGACACAAAAATGAATATACACACACACACACAAATGTGTGTCTATATCTATGGAGACACACATATACATACATGTGTGTGTCTAGAGAGACACACAAATAACTATCTATACATATATATACACAAATGTGTGTGTCTATATCTATGGAGACACACACATATACATACATGTGTGTGTCTAGAGAGACACAGAAATGAATATATATATATATATACACACACACACACACACAAATGTGTGTGTCTATATCTATGGAGACACACACATATGTACAAACTTTGTTGTTCAGTCATTCGGCTATACATGACTCTTTGTGATCCCATGGACCCCAGTCCGCCAGGCCCTTCTGTCTTCCCCTCTCTCTTGGAGTCTTTCCAAGCTCACATTCATTGCCTACATGACACCATCTATCCGTCTCATTTCTGTCATCCCCATCTCTTTTTGGCTTCAATCTTTCCCAACATCAGGGTCTGTTCTAATGAGTCCTGTCTCCTCATTATGTGGTCAAAGTGTTTAAGCATCAGCTTCAGTATTTGTCCTTCCATGTATGCACATACTTATATACATACACATGTAATATACATGCGTAGATACATATGTCTCCATATGGCTGTGTCTCTCAGTGCATTAGAAAGGGCACTGGGTTTGCAGAGGGCCCAGAAGAGCTGGGTTGCAATTCTGGTTCCATCACTTACCAGCCCTGTGATTTGGGCAAAGCCCTAACCCTCGCCAGGCCTCAGTTTCCTCCTATCTAAGATGAAGGGGATGGATAA